AAAAAACAGGCTTAATCATATAAAGTTTTCTTTATGAACAAAAGACCAACGTCTAAAGTTTACTGAAAATATCTTAATATTTATATAAGTACCTTCAGAAGATCTTTCAATTTGTATTCTGAGAAAACTTTAAAGTTCCCCCATACCTTTCATCTGCAATTTTGTGCTTTTTTTACATTCTTTTAATTTTGAAATACGGTTGCTTGACAAAATTAAATCATCCACGTACTCCACGTACCTATACGAGTAGAAAAATCTTGATATTGCCTTCAAATTTCTAGTAGAGACACTTTTTATTTGCAGACCGTCATACCAACCTTTTTCAAAAATGAGTCCAATCTAAAGTTCCCAGCTCTTGGAGCCTGTTTAAGCCCATAAAGCGACTTTTCCAACTTGTAGATTTCACTTGATTCATTTCCAAAACCATCTAGTGACTTGATATACTTTCTCATTCTAAAATGCATGTAAGAATGCGTTTTCCACATTTATTCGGTGAGCTATTGAACTTTCTTGATTTACTATTGACAACAGCACTCGTACCGTTGTTAAACGTGCCTCCGGGGCATACGTCTCGGTGTACTTATACCCTTTTCTTTGTAAAAATCCTCTGGCTACAAGTCTAGCTTTATACCTACTGACAGTCCCATCTTCATCACATTTTATTTTAGAAATAAATTTTGGGTCTAGCGCCTTTGTGCTTGAAGAATATTCTGTTTTAGACCAGGTATGGTTTTGTTTCAAAAAAACAATTTCTTCTTGTACCGCTTCCAGCCACTGCTTAGCATCATCTCTTCCTAGTATATTAGAAAATTCATGTGGTACATTATCTACATAAGATTTTGCACTTAGTGCTATTGCTACATAGTCTTCTAGAAATTTAGGCTGTGTTTTTATCCTGGTACTTCATCCTTACTGTTTCTTCCTCTTATTCTTCATCTTCATCATCACTTTCATCTTGTAATCGCATATTACTCAATATTCTATTGTTCTAACCACTTTTGTGACTTCCAGGTATACTTTCCATATTTTTAGTACTGCTTCCATTGTTTGGTAGCTCTGATGTTTCATTAAATGTCTCATCTTCGCTGTCATCATGCGATACTACTTCAAAACTCTCAGTTATTTCCCCTCCTGGAGTTGTTGATAGGTGATGACTTTAGAGTAAATAAAGCTTCATAAAATTTGACATCATTACCTTCATAGATTTTGTTTTCTTTTGGACACCAAAATCTGTATCCGCATTTGGACAATAGCCAACCATGTATAACATTCCCTATCCTGAATATCAAATTTGTCAATGCTTGACTTCCTTTGCTATATGAAGATACGTCACACTTCCAAATACCTTCAATTTCTCCTAACCCTAATTCCGCTGGTATAGCACCTTTGACTGCTTTGGTTGGACTCCTGTTAATTAGATAGGCAGAAACATATATCACTGCTTCTGACCAAAAACTTTTTGATATACAAGAATTCAACAGCATACCTACATCTTGTTTACTCAATAATGGTCTTATTCATTCTTTCCACTACACCATTCTGTTGTGGATTGTAGGCAATGGTGTACTTCCACTGAAAGAAATTTCGAATTTCATTAGAGACACATTCTCCACCATTATTGCATCGAGAACGAGAAATTTTTAAGTTAAATTGAGCTGTGACCATTGCATTACAACATATGCTTTAACGTTGCAAAATTCTTAAGCCTTACTAACCAGCGTGCAACATGCATTAAAATATGTATAGTCATCAATTAAAGTCAAAACGTATTTCTTTCCATCATAATATGTTGGGTTTATTGGTCCAAAAACATCACTGTTTCAATTCTAGTCTTACTTTTTCTAGCTTGTGTGATAACCTCGTCTGTTTCCCTCTATAATACAAATATCACAATCGTTAACATTGCATGTTTTTTCAAACCTGGAACTGTACATTTTATCTTTGATGTTTTAGCTAAAATATCACCTACCTACTACTTCCTTGGCTTCAAGTAGTTCTCCTGACTTGGCTATTCTCAACCTCACAATTTACGATTCAAAGACTGGACATAGAAATACGAGGAGTGTGTGAAACAAGATGGCCGGATGCAACCAATTTTGACTAAGGAGATTATACAATTTACACATCCGGAACGAGAGATGTATCTTATAGAAACCGAGCAGCAGATCAGTACGAAACTTTGTACCCTTGCCAAATCGAGTAATGCTACTACAGCTGGCGATGAGACCTATAAATGTGAACATTATTTAGGTCTTTGCCCCTACTACTGACCATGATGATGACGAAGTCGAAGAGTTCTACTAACAAATTAAAAACATGATGAAGGCGACAAAAAAACACGAAATCATTATACTTAATTATGGGAGATTAAAATGCAAAAGTGGACAGATAAACAACAAAGAAGTATACGGCCTAGGAATACGTATACAATAACAGAGGAACACGACTTGTTTTGCCAAGAAGAAAAATTCGTGATTATGAATACATGGTACAATCTTCCATACAGGAGACTGTACATACTGATCAACTGGCGATTCCAAACTTTCAATAAGTCAACAAAAACCTATCCTGGAGCTGACGTGCACTCTGATCATAACTTGCTCTGCTTAGTACTAGGAGTAAAATTACGATACAACAAACTAAAGGACCCAGAAACCATCAAAAAACTAATCAAGGAAATAAATGGTAGGTAATATACATACAACCATATCACTTCCCCTTGATAACAAAAGTGTCAAAGAAAATTGGGGAGATCTCAAAACTTCTTTGACAGATGGAATGGTTGAGCAGCTGGTAAAACCAAAGGGAAAAATAGGCAAAAAAAAATGGATGACGCAGGACATATTGAACATTATCGAGGAGAGACGGAAACACAAAAACAACAATCATAGTGAGAAAATACATCGGATAATACGCAAAAAAATTAGGGAAGTAAAGGAAGTGTGGCATCAGGAATGCAACAAACCATACACGATGAATTTAACCTACATAAACAGATCAAAGAACTTTCTGGCATATACAACAAGAAAACCACAACAGTGCTATATAACGATGGTGGAAAGGCACTGTAAACAAAGGAAGATCAGGGTAATGAATGGCAGCAGTATATTCAACAACTCGTTCGAGGACGAGACTCGCGAAACACCAGAGAATCTATTGACTGATTATATGACAGAGCACGCAGCATTCTCAAATCCTAAGTTCAAAAGGCATTACACCAGTCGAAAGCAAGAAAAACTCCAGGACCCAATGAAATTCCTATAGAACTAATAAAACTACTTGATGACGAAGGTTTCCAAAAACTAGCAAAAACTAGACAAAGACCAAAAAAATTTGAAAAAGAAACTAATTCCCTTCTTTTAAGTTATTCAAATTAAACTTGGCCTTCTCTCCACGTTATCGCAAACTGTTAGGTATCGCACCTTAACTAAAAACGTGATCCCCTCGAACCGCTCATTCCAAATAAATATTAATTAATGTGTTTGCACGTTTTGAGTCGGATTGGGTGCAGGTTGAAAATTGCATAACACCAGAAACCATGAACTTTGAAAAGAGGCAAATAACCTACCTTACAGTTCCACTTTGGTCTCATCTACTTTTACACTATTATTAATTGATTTTTTTTTCATGCCACATTGATATTTGAAGTGAATTCCTTTCAATCATTGACATTTAACTGGATGAAATTACAACAAAATTTGTGCATCCTACTATTATTCCCTTCTCTCATGCCATTTGCAATATATTGTCAACTAATTTATCACGCTATGGATATTTGCCTGGGTGAGACGTTAATGCTATGGTAATTATTGCTCTTGATCTTTAAAAAGAAGATACCATAGAATGCTGCACTTTACTACCGATTATAATATAGAAAAGGTTGAAAAAATTAACCAAGAACTACAGAAAGAAAAATTCCAGCATTTGCCTTTTAATTACAAAGTGTGACACTGATATCGACGCAAAGCTAAAAATTTCATTATCAAATCCTATTATCCTATGGAAGAATTCTCTAATCGATTCTAGGTGAGACATCAGGCATGGTACCATCCCAATAATTATACGTCTATAACTTTCACTACCAGTCGTTGTTGTAATGTTAAAATTCCAAGCATTGCGCTTCTGATGCACAAGGTTGTAACACTATATTACGATGGTATTCTCTGTCTAGTTAGGAATTTTTCTACCTTTACACAGAACCAATAATTATTATTGTTGCGAGAAATTAATTGGTTTTAATTAACTGGCTACTCGGGATGGGTAATATACCATTTAAGCTTATCTGAAGGCTAGGAAGTAAAATCTGCTTTGGAAAATTGCCAAATAAGAATATTTTTTGTATATCCTTTTCCACCATCATTGGATTACCTACGTTCACTGAATGCAGTTGATACAATAGTTTTTTTTTTTTTACTCACTCTCACAGCACCGTTTATTGCTATATTTAGGTATAAAATATAATTCTCATGATCATTATATGCTCTTTGAAATAATATACAGGGTGGCCCATTGAGAACGTCTCGCGAGGCATTACAGATCACATAAGTACCTACGTTCTGGTACGTTATAATTTTTTTAAACAAATTTGTTGGTGCATGCTATCGGCATGCTCGCGTTAAAAGGTTTAATAAACCATGTTTAATCTGGGCTACAAGCATAAAAATAACCGAAACCTTGGCCTTAAATCTGTTACTTTACTTCTTATCGTCTCATCGTCATCAACTAAAACGAGAACCTTGCACTTGTTACCAATAAATCTCGATTAAAAGCTGCAATTTCCGCTCTAGTTAGTAAATCAAGCTTAAACCGTACATTTTTCGCAACCACTTTTTACTAACAACAATTACTCAAGCCTCCTCGACAGATTCGCTTTATTGTTTTCCGTTGAATGATTGACCTTAGCTAAATTATTCATTGTGTTGTGGGTGGGTTTAGGTATTTGCTTGGTAATATCTTTATTTGAATCGGAGTAAATAAGTAGGTAATTATCAACAACTCACATGTTGGTACAGGAGGACAAGGTGGATCAGCACAAGCCAGTTCTTCCAAATGACATTCTAAAGCGTTAGGGCAGTTTATGTCGTCACAAGGGTCTCTACACCTACACATAGGGCATCCGTCTTTGGTTAGGGCGAATCCGTGAGGGCAGAACATTCTGCAGGTCGCTTCTGCACATGGTTTTGGAGCTAAAAAAAGAAAAAAAACCTGTATCATATAACATAATTCCATGGATATTTACTGTATTATGTTCTATTTTATATTGTTATTCGAATTTTTTAATGATAAACATTATGGTGGATGAAACAATTAGGATTGTAATCCCGCCTTGTAAAATTCCTGGTTATTGTTTAATTGCTACCAATACGCCCTGACGTTTTCTTCCCACCTACGTCTGAGTCATCTTTAATTTATTATGTGCAAGTTTTCGGATAAGTAAAGTGAGAAGAGAAAGTCGCGCTTCTAGAATCTTATTGTATTGCTAACAAATTTATTAATAAATAAAGACAATTTCTCGAAATATTTGAAAAACGAGAAATAAGCACAAACCGCCAATATTAATTGTACCCCTTTCGATAATAATTGGGTATGGCTAGATAATAATTGCAAAGTGCAATGAGTAATTAATTTGTAAAAACAAAACTAGAAACCATAAAGTATATGGATAATGGCTTTGAAGCGGATGTGTGATATGGTAGAATGAGGTGTTAAATGTAGAATTGCTAAATACCCGTGACCTGATTTTTTTCCGTATTTTTCATATTGTTGTTAAAATATGTAACCAGATCAGAAATAAAAATCTGGTGTTATTGAAGTAGCTATACTGACATGCGTACGTCTCAGATATAATAAAATAATTAATTTACGGCTTGTATTTGGGTAATGAATTTGATATGAAATTTAACTTAATCTGAATACTTATGCCATTAACATAATTTCATTCATTTCAGATTTCTGTCGGTTAATTTAACACACTAATTTGCTCTAAAGTGACTTATTTTCAAGCTAGTGACTGTAGTCGAGCTTATAGTGATGCGACTTTGATGGTAAACATCACACTGCTTCCCATCTATGTAAGTTCAACTTTACGCATAGGTACCATGCGTGATGGTGAAGAAAATTGCATGGGCGCAGATCAATTAGAAATGCTTAGTAGTGTTATTTCGGCTTTGTATTAAATTTTGTTTGCACCTTTGAGTATTCTTAAGTTCAATCGATTTTATCGCTGAAAAGTGCGTCAATAGTTGAAAGGGACCAAAAAAGAACGTATTATTATGGTTATACAACTCACTGTACATTATTCCCATATGACACAAGAGGCTTAATAAGTGATAAGCCTTTTGGGATTATCGCGCTTTGTGGCAATATTGTCAATTTGTCATTAATGATTATAAAGATTGATAAAGTATTGAAGTTTAGTTCGTTGTATAACCTTTTGAATGCCACTCGATGTTTCAGGATTACCTAATACTTTTACCTGACACTCAAGGCGTTACCAGCAACACGTTTCGTGACAGGTAAAAGTATTATCCGGTAATCCTGAAACCTCTTGTGGTATTACATTCGAAAATACGCCGTAATGAAAAATGAAGTTAGGCTAACGAAGAAAGAGAAAGGATTTGTTTTTATTGAGGTTTTGGATTGGGTTTAGGACGGTAAATAATTAAATTTATATAGTCACCTTCGTACAATAAAACTTTAGTTAACTACTACAATTTTTTTTAATAAAACATACACATGAGGTTTACTTTTTTTTTTGCTTTGACCTTGATTTTCTACTTTTTACCTGACATTTTTGCTGGACGAACTCCCCAAGCGAAGGTGTAAGGTAACGTGCCGAGAGTTGGGGAGCACCAGGCGACACCCCCTTATATTTAACATTACATACTTACTTACTGAAGGGTTAAATATAGCTAACATAGGCATAGAACCAACATTCGTAACGATAGCTCGCCAAGAAGTCCACACATGAGGTGCAAACAGACTATTATCACATCAAGTAAGCTCACATGTTATCACGCAGTCACGGCACACCCGAAATATCTGCAATATACTTAATTTAGGCGTGTTTTATAAATAGGTTGAGAAGTACACTATAGTCACCTCATGCAGCTCACTGCAAGTTATACCTGACAGCACAACTTTGTTCCTGCAAATTTACATATTTGACACGCATGATAGCACGAGGTTTGTTTCTTTGTGTCGCACTTACTTGAACTAAGTTTGAATATTCCAGATTATGGCGGATAAACCATATAAAACGCTTACCAACGAACGCCCCAAAGCAGGAAGTGCTGCCCCGAACAACACAAACAAACAAACCTTTGGTTTCAGAGTTTGACGCCAGTGTTTTGGGTGCGGACAGTGGAATCTCAAGTGAAAATGGAAGAACTACTAATTGAAAAAGTGAGACAGCATGTTGTTCTGAATCATTCATCCAGTGACTATAGGAAACTTGACGAGCTACAAGATTCACTCGCCATCTTGACAAACACAAAATAAAGTCCGTTTTTTTTTTAAAGATAAAAGACAAAATGACATTATGTGGGCAATACAATGTAAAATTGTCAATGGTTTCAAATTTTTTATGTAGAAAAGGCTTGTGTTGCCAACATAGTTACTAAATTTTTGACTTGGGGAATTATCTTTAAAAAAAAAACACACTTTACGTATCGAATAAAAATAATCTGGGCCGGTTTCTCGTTCTCGAAAACGCTCACCGCTTTTTAGTCGCTCGGTACTTCTAATATAAATTTACAATAAAAGTGCCGAGCGACTAAAAAGCGGTGAGCGTTTTTGAGAACGAGAATACCGGCCCTGTAGTGTGTTTCTAATCTAAGCCGTGACAGCATGTGATACTTTGCCGATGTGACAACACGTGATCGCATGTGACGTGATAAATGATAATAGTCTGTTTACACCTTTAAGTCTTTAGTTCTAATAGGGCAATCGATACAATTCATAACTGGAAAGTGTCAGATGGACCATCGTGTTTTGACCACAGGCACGTCAGGTTTGATATTAAAATTTCCATCCCCACAGAGACACCGTTTAAAAATTCACAACACACAAACTGGGAAAATTACCTAAGATCCCTCGAAGAAGGTCCTCCGGACTCCAAAGGATAACAGTTAGAGGTAGGGACGTAAAAAACGTTGAGGAATCAATACAAGCGATAAGCGAAGCAATCACCACGGCTTATCATAGCAATGAGGAAGTTGCATAAAATTTTATTTTTATGCAATCATTATTTGTATCTGCCGCATAATGCCTTTTTAGCGTATGTACAGGGTGATTCATTAAGAATGGCACTCGGCCATATCTCGAAAACTATTCATCGTAGTCTTGTCGGAAAAAAATTATCCCATAAATATGGCCAAGAGAAAATGCTGGAAATATATTTCAGCTTCCTAAAATGACCGTAAGGGGGCGTAACCCAACTGTCAAAGTACAAAAATGGTTTTATTTTTTAAATTTCAAATGGAAATGTATCTCAAAAATGCTAGCAATAGATTTTTGATGAAATTTCACACAATTTTGATGCATGACTTTTTACCATAACTTATCGGATAAGATAGTTATGAGCTGTCAAATATTGCAACACAAGAAAACGGATAACTTCAAAACGACCCAACAAATCTGGTCGATCTTAGGTTCGTTGGAAAGACAAGAGTCTGTTCTTTAACTTTGTTGTGAAAAATTCAAATTCTGGTTAGTAGGACTGACGCTATGCGTCAATATTTGAAAACAATTGAATGTTTCCAATTTTTCTTAAAATTTTCAAATGGAACGGTATATTTAAGACATGTTAAATCGATTTTTGAGGATGTTTTACATAGTGTTTCTTTATTATATCTTCCTACAAACGAATTCCAGAGAGTGTTAAAATTAATTTTATTAAAAATAATCAGTGCTTATGAAAAAGCCCCCGTAAATTGAGCAGATACCAGTTAAGTATGTCAGGCTGACATATTTTTGAAAATTCAAACTCTATTTTCTAAAGTCAAAATGCATTTCCCAAATGGAGAAGCACAGGACATCCTTGAGGTTCTGGGGGCTTTATTTGAAATTGATGCAGCTTCACGTACACGCAAATGACGTTATTTGGGATTGAAAATTGGTGCACGGCTTATTTGACATGCAATTTTTCAATCGAAAATGACGTCATTTGCGTCATATTTGCGTGCACGCAAAGTTGCATCAATTTCAAATAAAGCCCCCCTGCATGAATGTAATGGAAATGCAGCAATCGCAGCCACTAAAATCTAATTATTTTGAAAATGGACAATGCTTATACAAAAAATAATAGACTGGTTTTGGATAATCTCTGTTAGTATTCACAGAAAGAGCAGAATGAAAAATGAATAAAGTGCGTTTTTTTTTTTAAGATAAAAGTCAAACTGACATCAGGTTGGCAATACAATGTAAAATTGTCAATGCTATCAAATTTTTCATGTAGAAAAGGCTTGTGTTGCCAACATAGTTACTAAATTTTTGACTTGGGGAATTATCTTTAAAAAAAAAACAAATTTTAAATCCACAGTACGCGGGTGCCGAATTTATGCGGAAATGACGTCTAGATTTTAATTTCCAAAATTAATAATAGATGGCACCACCACTTGAGTAGTTTACTATTCTCAAAATAAATATGTATTTCTTCTTCAAGTTTCGTATCCTACAACATGCTCGTGTATTAATGGCTATCATTACATGATCATTGCATACTATAGTTACTATTATAATTTCCTAACGCACTTTTTCCATTATTTGACATTCATCAATGATGACAATCAACTGTCAGAAAAGCAAAGTCATTATTTACAAGGGCTTTTTCAAAAATATTGATTATTTTTGATAAAATTAAATTTAACACTCTCTGGAATTCGTTTGTAGGAAGGTTTAATAAAGAAAAACTGTGTAAAACATCCTCAAAAATCGATTGAACATATTTTAAATATACCGTTCCATTTGAAAATTTCAAGAAAAATTCAATTGTTTTCAAATATCCACCCATAGAGTCAGTCCAACTAACTGAAGTTGGATTTTTTTACAATAAAATTAAAGAACAGACTCTTGTCTTTCCAACGAACCTAAGATCGACCCAATTCGTTGAGTCGTTTTGAAGTTATTCGTGTTCCCAAGTTGCAATATTTGACAGCTCATAACTGTCTTATCCGATAAGTTATAG